GTTAGCGGCCATGCGCGTACCCCCCTCGTTCATTGGTGTGGGTGTGTGAGTGGCCTAATCTGCATACGCACGCGCTTCGTGTCAAAGCAAATAATTCTTACGCGCGGTTACTTGCCAAACGCACCGACCTCCCTGCTCATGCTCCAAATTGCATGCGACTAATAACTATTTGTGTGTGGATGTGATGAAATCATTATTGCGCGGTAGCTAGATGAAATCATATACCCGACATGTGTGTGTGTGGATTGATGAAAGTGGCGCAGTTTATTAGTCATTGTTGAGCACTTAATTTAAATAATTTCACAATACAACTGCAGTTTTAATCATGATATCTCGTCTAAAAGTTTATATTATGAGTCATACATATACATATGGATACATACCATACAATAATATGTACATATCAATATATATTCCTGTGTAATCAAATTAGATCCACGTGCCGAAAACTATTGAATTGATTTTTTTTTTTGGCTAAATGATAGAAATAGCTAGTTCTTAATACCAACAAAAAAAGGCTCAAAATCGAGTTGCGCCTATGTAAGTTAGAGTTAAAAACGATACACAATAAAAAGGGATCAGGGTGAAACGGAATGCCTTAAGGACATGAAGGCTCGTCAAGATTGTGTGCAAGAGTTCTGAAGAAAAACACGCATGCTTCTTATTCACACTGTCTCGAAAGGACTGCAGTACGGTTTTTGGGTAATGACAGGTCACAACTTATTAGCATCAGAAAGTGTAGGGAAGTAGGCATGAAAGAGACGCTGGAACACCTCCTGTGCTGCTGTTCGGCCTTATCTAGAACTCGACTTAGATATCTATGAGCTGCACAGTTCAGAAGACTATTTGAAGTATCAAAATTAGATGGTCTATATAGGTCCATGTATGGCGTGACAGCTGGTCAGTATAACCTAATTTAACCTAAATTTCGCCTTTTTTATACCTTTAACAAGGTATATTAACTTTGTCTCGAAGTTTGTAACATCCAGAAGGTAACGTGGGAAACCCAATAAAAAATATGTAACGTAAAGATCCTCCCAAGCTGTAATATGCCTTACTTATTAGGGTGAAGCGAAAATTTTTTTAAACAACTTGAGGCGGCTCACTCAATTTTAAAGTAAATTTTCGAGGAAAAATTTTATTTTTCTCAAAAATTTTTTGATAAGTTTTCTATTTTTATAATCTACAGGTTTTATCTTCAGGCTAAGCAAAAAAAAGAGAAGATTTTGAAAAATTAATTAACATTTAATTTTATGGATTGCAGAACATTTAATGTCTTTCAATGGTTTCAACAAACATTTATATTTCCTAAAAAATAGAGTAATATTAACCCTTGGTCTTTCTTGCATAATAATTCTTTTCAAAAATGGTTTAACTGAACTCTGGTGGATTATAGCTTTCTTTGAAATAAATAAAAAAAATGTGATGAAGTTAGGACACTTATAATTCAGTTCCATAAAAAAACTTCTTAATTTAGGTTTACTTCCTCCATGACAGTTCGATTAGAAATAGTGAACGATGAAGCTAAGTAACTACATTCTCATGATCTAAAATGTCTTAATCCGTTATTTTACCTAAAATGCAAAGAAAAAGGTCTTACTGATCTCTAGGAACATAAGAGGGGTAAAACACCTTCCACATTTCTTTCATTAATTTTTACACAGAATTTTATATATAATTTGGCTCGGCAGTTGACATTCAACGACTATTTATGGGTAAGAGCCTGCATAGCTATGATCTTAAACAAAATTGTCTCGCCCCTCATTTTAAAAAAATTTAAAGAGAAAGTTCTAACTGATCTTTAAAAACCGTAGAGGATTAAAAACAAAAAAATACCGTAATGTAGTAATTCACATTTATTATGCTTAGAAATTTCTTCCCTTTATTAGGAGGATAATCTAGAATAACTTCCATTTGAAGATTAAGTTGATCTGCTTTTTTATCTCACCGAAAAAAAATGTCTAACAGTTTGACTGTTCACTTTCACTTTTTTACCTAAAATTTCAAGATGTATTTACCATATAGTTGTTGTAGAATATACAAATAATTTTTTTGATTGGGTGTACCTATGGATGGTTTAATAAAAAAAATAATTTTTTAATTTATCAGATCAAATGAAGAGTTCTGGAATGTTATTGTGAAGAAATCGCTTAATTTATGGAAGGTGTAAATAGTAATATTATTATAAAGATGAGGGCCATTAATAATCCTGCTACCTGAATCATATACACATAAATACCAAGTATTAGCAGATGATTTTAGAGTAAGAGTATTCAGTAAAGAGTTATTTGTTTTTAACTAATAATTTATTAAAACAGTTGAAGTTGGAACCCCAAAAATTCTTTAGAACCCTAACTTTGTTGAATTACTTAAGGTATGTAGCCTTTTTCTCTTGTTAGGGCAGGAAAAGAATACTCGCTTAAATAATCGAATGCATACAAATCAGCTACCCAAACAAGACCAAATTTCCGACATACAATGGCTTTGAACCCTACAAAAATATATATAGGTTGCAGAAAAAAAGTATAGAAACATTTTGTAATTAACCTTAGCTATAATCACCTCTAGAACAAATGCTGTTAAATCCTTACAGCAAATTTTTAACTCAGCTGAACATTTTTTCCCACTCACACATATACATAAATGACTTCGTACATCCAAAGGTTAAATAAATTACCCACAACTAACTATTATTTCGATATTTTGTACAATATAAACATGATAATAACTTAAAATATCCTTAGTTGGTTATTTTTAATATTCATACCCAGTTTATTAACCTACACGTCGGGGCTTCCATACAAAGAAAGATTCGTTCTCATTTTCCAAAGCACACAAGGTTTTTCTAGATGTGAGTTAACGGACTATAATGTATAAAATGGCTGCTGCACAATTCTATTTGCACTTTCATTTAAAAAATTAAAACCATCGCCACTTAACTCCACCCCTTTTACGGTGAACATTGTCGGCAATGTCATAATAAAATGCCTTTTAATGGCAATTTTCCAAATTTTGCATTTTCAATATCTTTTTAATCCATAAGCACTTCAACTTTTAATTGCTTTCAAATACTTTTGAACATTTACGTTTATGACCAATTTCGAAATGGTAGTTATCATAAAAAAATAAGCTAAAGCATATGAAGATGAATGGACACAGTTTTTAAGCTCATTGGATACGGTCATGCTCACTTCGGGGTAATTCTCTTGGCTGGACCATTTAAGGATTTAAGTAAGGCACATAAAAGTTTTAAATCCAAATATGCAGTGCAATTAACAGCGCCCAACCAATTGGTCATTTCCACCAACCACGATTTGTACACGTATGAAATGGGTTATTTGCGAAGAGGCTCTTATTCTAAGCATGTGTTATGAGCAACTGATTGAGACTCTTCTATGATAATAAAAATTTGTCTTAGTCGCCAGTCTGGCGTATGTGGATTCAAGCGTATGCATAATTTTAGTTATGTGGTATTACTCTTTAAGCTATTGCCGAGCTTTCCGTTTCGTAATCCTAATCCGCAAAGGCTATACGAGTGTATATAATAATTAATAATTTTTGATGAAATTGTTTTGTTAATGTACAATCCTTCCGATAGTTCTTCAACAAAATTCAAGGAAATTAAATTCATTAAAGTATTAAACTGGTACTAAGTTTCTCAAAGCAGTTTTGAATAAACTTTCTGCGGATGAGGCGAAATAAATATCGATGTCTTTTTCGGTATGTAATCTTCAGCCTTAATAACGGGTGATATAATATTAATTAAAACATCCTTAATAGCACTGAACCTAGTCTTTCCTCTCTTTCGTAGCGTCTGTTCACATGATAGTGACGGACAGACGTATTTCTTGGAGCAAGCGGCTCGCGTTATAAACGTGTATATTTTTATGGCAGGTTCGTAAGCCAAGGTAGCAGCCATACCAACGAACTACTTGTATGAAACCTGGGCTAATCACCCATTTTTCTAAAAATACGGGATTACAGAAATCAATAACAAAGTAAAGAAGAAAAATCCGAAAACAACTTTGACGACCGTAGTTATTTAGCATTAGTCTGGATACCCGAATTAAATACTGGAATGTTCAGACACTATATGATACCGAAAAACTGCAACAATCGACCTCGGAGTTCCAAAAATTTGGCTCTACGCTTCAACCGGAGTTAAAGGAAATACAATATGTATCCCTAAGATCATTCCGCGTTGAAAGAAACTATTTTTCTAATAGATATTTGAAGTGACTCAAAGTTCCTTCAGAAATTTTTCGTACTAGCTGAATTATTTTAAATAAAGACTATCCAGGAAGCTTTATTCCGTTAAGCAAAGCAAAAAAAAAAAAACTGGAGCAGCTTTTTGGTAATCCTCAGATTTACCATATCGTTTACCCAAAAGCATTCGTTGGAAGATAATGCAAGGACATAACTTTTTCGACTAAAACATATCTGATATTTAAGCATACATCGTCTCATAACTGTAAATATTGATTTGATTTTGAATTTATACTCTCTGATTCAATCAGATATGAAATAACAATAATGATACCTATTTGGGTCAAAACTTTTACGACGAATTTCAGGTATGAAGTTTCAGGGAAATAATTCACAAGATTACGGATTTATACTTCACACACACCTCAATGAGTTTTTGATGAACTTTAGAAGATGACTTATAGATAACTGCTGTCAAGGAATAAGCCCGTCCTAAAACTGGAAAAGTCATATGACTTGCTTTTTCGTGGGTTAGTCTTTTCTGGAATTAAGTTTGCTTTTGATCTTAAACGATCAATCGGTCAAGGAAAACAGGAAAAGTAGGGATCTAGCTCATTTGGAAGGCTCTTCATATACACACAATATGTGGGGGATTGTATAACCCCTTCCAGTTCAAGCTACGTGTCCGGATCTCTTATTTTATTAATTTTTTTAACTCTGATCTGCAGGGAGATCTTACAATAAAAGAAAATCAACAATCGATTTTCAAGTTATTTTAATACATGCACACTTACCACCATTGCAGTGTGAACCTGCGTCACTCAAAACGGTTCCATTGACCGGGCTCTGCACTACTGCAATCTTTTGAGTCGCCACCGACGGTAATGATTTCCGCTCTATTGTCGTCTGTACTGCGGCAACGCTACGTCGCTGTTTCTCTTTCGCATTCATTTCGACTAACGATTGTGCGGCCGACCACTCGAGTCGCTTGCATACCTCCAAATCACTTGTGCCATCCTCAAATTCCATATCAATGCGGTCCATAGTAAGCGGATCTTTTGGCGATTTCTGATTACCGACACTGCGCATGCGCTTGGTTGTGCTACGCGATAACGGTACAAGTGATGCATATTTAGTTTTCGGCTGTAGGGGCGGCGGTGTAACTGGTCCGGCAGGCTTTCTAACCACCACTATCGTCGACTGTTGCTTCGGAAGCGACGCGGTTGGTTTGGCCGTTGCCAGTGCTTTGCCTTTGCATGTTGCTGTATTTGCGTGTTGTTGTGGCCGCGCTGATCTCACAGCTGCCGTCGTATGCTGTCGTATTGTGGATCGTGTTTGCTGGTGTTGTGACGCTCGTGCCGTAGTGTTCGTGGCATAGCATAGTGTTGCACCGGGCGTGATGACGATCTTATTGCTCGTTGGTCGCATGCAATCGACGGACATTTTGTTGGAGAAGTTCGCTTTGCACCATTCAAGTGAGGGGGTTTGTGACTCGCTTTTGCTCACATAAAATTGTTTTAAAACTCTTTCTTCTGCGCTTTCTTTGTTTGGTGTATCGTAATTGCCAAATACTTATTTGATAAGTGTGAATTTGCTATTAATTGTAAATTTATAATGTTCCAACGTTTTGAACGCCTCTAATGTTTTAATTTCAATGTTGTATGCTAAATCTAAAATTTTAATTATTTATGCTTTTTGTTTACTTGATTTTGTTTTTGTGGTTTTGCTCACAGTTGAGTATTGCTTCGTTGTATCGTTGACGTAATTTTGTTTCACACATAATTGTTGTTGTTGCTTTTCGTTATTTATATTTGTATTGCTTGTGTTAGTTTTCTTTTATATTAAATGAGCTGAATTTTCTTGAAACTTTTTCTCTCATAGTTTTTGTTGTATGAGTAATGCGGCCAGTGGATGGTAAGTCGAGTGATTCATTAGCTTGCGGATTGGTATGTTGACATATAACTGTTCTGTGTTCTGTCGTTGCACTGAAAATATAATGAAATTTAATTAAAAATGTTTCCGGAAAGTAATTGTAACAAGTATCTTCTGAATAGAATGCTATGACTACAAAATAATTTAGATTTTATTTGATGCGTTTAAAATTTTTTCCAATTTCCCTCTTGTATTTTATTAAGGGGCACACCTAATGTGAAATTAAAAAAAAATCGATTTTCATAATTCGATTGGGCTATACTTTTCAATATAACATACTAAAATTTTAAATCGATATCTCAAATAGTTTTTGTGTCACAGCCTTCGAAAGTGTAGCCCCTCAGTTCATTCAGCTCAAACAGTTTATCTATATACGCGTTTTTCTCAAAATTACATAGCTTTGCCGGAGTGATTACTTAGAGATAAATGATCCGATCACTATAAATTTTTTTCTTTTTCGAAGCAGTTGCTGCGGAGAGATCAATTTAGAACTTCGGTCTGTATTTATTTCACGAAAAAGAATTATCATTTTTGTTATGGTGGATGAAATTAAGGTGTATACTAAGAAGATTAGATAACATACATATGTATATAAACTGCTAATACTACAATGTCTTTCATTTAATAACATTGCAGAACGTGTCCTTTCATGAACTCCTGAGCTTTAATACCCAGTTCTGAAATAAATGTATACATAGTAGAAAACCATAAAAAGTAAAATATACCAAGGAGCAGAAATGGAAAAGTTCTTGGATTGATAGGAACTTATCTAATCTTAATTTATTAACTGTCTTGCGATTCATAAAGTTGTGTCAAATTGGATATTTTAGTTTAAGCATGACTATAATACATGGGTACCAAACCACTGGGGACTTTAGATAATCTGATCGACAAAATGTTGTTTTATAATCTGGTGATGCTTACAATATAAAGGCCTAAAGGTATCCACTAGAGGAATAGTAGAGCGAAACCGATAGATAGTTGCTCGAATTATCGACTATGTTGGGTGATTATGTCAACCGAATATTGAACGCAGCGCGCGATGCGTCGTGTGAATCGAAACATTATTTTGGTAAAAAATTTAGACGATTTGTAAACGTTTTTCCAGAATAAGTCTGTTCATTATGAAATGGCAAACAAAACTATGTATAAATCAAATAACAGATGTCTAAAAGACCATGTCGGAAGAAAGTATTGCTTCATTAAAAACCACACGTATAAAAAAACACCCATTATATAAATGAACAGCGTGATAAGCTGCGTCCATTTAGCCATGTCTGTTTCTTAGTTTTTGAGATTTCGATCTGAAATTTTGCACACGTTTCTTTCAATTGTTCGAGCTGCTCATTTGTCGGAATCGCCGATATCCGACCACTATAGCATATAGGTGCTATACAAACTGATCAATGCAAGTCAAGTCCTTGTATGGAAAACTTTTTCTTTTGACAAGATAGCTTCACGAAATTTGGCATGGATTATTGTCCACGACAAAGTTATAATCTTCAAACAAATTGTTTAGATCGAACTGCTATAGCATATAAACTGACTGAACACTATCAAAATAAAATCTTTTGTATCCTTTTATGTTATAACTTGCGAAGGGTGTTTTGGCTACACCGAAAGCTGAAGTTAACATTTTTTCTTGTTTGATTCGCTTTTCAATTTTTTATTTATATTAAAAACCTATTTTGATGGCGGAGTATTATATTTAGAACGCTTCTTTGAAAAGTGTTCTTTTGGGACTACTTATTGGTCGCCAGTTAGCTTTAGCTGTTCCTCAATTAGGGTATAACATACAAACGTGTTCGAACGGCTACCCAAATTTCTTCTTCACTGCAATAATTTTGATGAAGGGTAAAAATCATCACACCTCTACAGATTTTTTGAAGGCATTAATGGTGTATGGCACACAACTGCTTCATTAATCAAAATTTACGTGCTACTGCGATACTTGTTGGAGGTTGACGTGGAGCCGGTTGCCTTCGCATAATAACATATATTTATTTCGTACGAAACACGTGTACAAAAACACTTAGGTATATACCCCCTATCTGCGCCGACGAATACCTTGTGGATAAGTACCTGTTACGGGCCTATGATGCACATAAAGCTGCCTACGTAAATGCGCTAAACGCCACATATGCCTTCATGGAATAATAGAGGACGATGAAAAAACTAAGACTTCCACTTTCAATTATTTATATCGACATTTGTTGATTTCACGGCACGAATTCAAGTAACATAGTATGAGCGTGTGCATGTTTTTGAAAACCTACATCTGTATATATTATATGTAGGTGTATGTGTGTGTGTGTGTGTGTGTGAAAGCAACAAATTTCGTCATTACTCTTCAGGTGGTTGTGCGGCGAGAGAAGAGCAACAGTGCGGTATGCGACTCATAGTTTGCATGAAGTATATTTTTCTAAGTATGTGTGTGTGCGTGTATGTGTGGTGTACATCGCGTGAAGCTCGCAGTAAGTCCAAGCAATCTTAGCGCTGCAATTAGTTGAGTTACCAATACATAAACACACACACATTTATACACTTGTTGGACACATATGTGCTGACACTGTTAAATATGAATTAAATGGCTGCTCTTGAAAGCCATATATTATTTATAACGGCATATATGAACACAAAAAAGAAAACAAAACTAAATCGTTCGTTGGTTGGCAACACTAACTATTGAAATCATTGTTTGCATTAGAGCTCATTTCAAATAATTATATGTTGCCACATGTATTTATATGCCTTGTATGTGTTTGTGTATGTGTGTGTGTGTATTTGGAGTATCCTGGGAACACTGCACACCGCCCCCGGCACAAGGCGCACCGTTAAAACAGTATGATTAATAGTTTTCCACTACTTTGCACCAGTGCCCGAAAATATTACAGTAATATGAGCGCACTTGCATGCTTCTAGACAATAAATTAAATTTGTATTTTGGACTCAAACTTTATGCTACGCTTAGAAATCTTCACTTTATAGCACATACTAATCCTTTTTAAACACACACCGAATGCCAATAAACAGTTAAAATTTGCCTGCGTTTTTCTCTGTCACTTTTTGTTACATTTCAGTTTCGCACATACCACAAACATAATTTCGAAACAAGTTGGCTTCATGCCAAATCACTGAATGAATGGCAATGCTGTGCTGGCGACTTTACGAGCCGAACAAGCACACGAAGTGCGCCGTTCGCAACGTTGTGCTCGCACACTTTTACGCGCTCAGTGGTATACGCTCTCTTCGTAGCACACTCTCTCGCAGTGACACTCACGGCTGTGCCTGCGGTGTTGCGCCTAAATTGCGGCAACAGGAAAACACACATACACAACCGCAACAACACAACAAAAGCGCTAAGGTAAACAACAAAAAAAAAATATAGTTGGGTATTAAGTAATCGCTAGTTAGCGCTCAGCATATATTTGTGTCGTTTTTGATATGCTAAAGTTTTAGTTAAAATATTTTCCATTAAAATAATTATTTGTTGCCTATATTTAGGCGCGCTTAATTACTCACTTTGCATTTAAATCACGCTAAATATTTGGCCACCGTTTTGACTACACCAATATGACAACTACATCATCAACTACTTGCTATTACTACTTATGCCTCATTGCGTTTGTGCTTTTTGTTTGCATTTTACGTTCTGCGTCGTCTTCTTCCGTTGCGACGGTATCTTTCTCTTTTCAACTGCTGCGACCACGACTTGCTTTGTTCGTTTCTTTCCACCGTTATTCACAATTGTTAATGTTTTATGTTATATGCTTGTTTTTCTGCAATTTTTCCACACGCTAGCCTCCTTTTTTTTCGTCCTTTCTTTAAGTATATATTTCTTAAGTGCAAAATCAGCGAAAATTGTTTGGATAGCAACAGCGTAATGTCGAAAGTTCCATGCAACTATATTGCGGTAGATTTTTATTTTGTTTTTTTTTTGTGTTTTTCTATATTTTTTCTCTATTTAACAAATGATTTGGTTACATAGTATATATTTAGTGCAGGATATAGTAGCAAGCAGTTTTTGAAAGAAGAATAGAGTAGAGTTGAGACGACGCGGAAGAGTTTCATCATCATGTAATTTAACGATTTTTATAGGCTGCCAGCACGCATACACACACACGCGCATGCACACGTACGCAGGTCAGTACCGTATGTGACAGATTCGCCACCTTCTCGTTGGCGGAAGATTCACTATTCACATAGAGTTTAATTAAAAGTTAAAAGTTTGCAGATAGTTCAAGTTGAGAAACGCACAAAAGTTAAGTACAGTTCAGTTGAGTTGAGTTGAGTTAAGTTGAATTATTTAGCGTTCACAAAATGAGATGTTGAAGGAAAAAAAATCTAGAAATTGAATAATAATATATTTGAGATTTTCGTTGGCGCACAATACACTACTGATGTGCGTCAGTTTTTGACGTACCACTCCCTTCTACTGGTGCGACAAGCCGTCGCTAATGTTCGCCAAACTCGAAACTAAAAACATTCGAAACGTTTATTCCTTCGGTACATTTTTTGCCTACCACCGGGCGCATATCAAGCCGCTCTTAGTGGCACACGCTCTCTGTAAGTGCTCACATATACTGTACCAAAAGCGCTCAGAGCACATTTGCATACAATACTATTGGCGTGCGAGTGTGTGTGTGCATGTAGACTAAATGTGCCAGTTTTGTCACTCTCGAGCTGTAGGCAGCATGCTAAATGTATGCTATGCGCCAGTGGGTGGTGCGCTCTACCTGAGAGCGCTTGGGTGGGGTGTCTGTGTGGTAAGGTGATTAAATGGCGGCGTATGGTGTTGCTGTAAACACCAGCGTTTAACGGTGAGTAACATGGCAAGAAATTATTGTTGAAAATTTTAAGATTTTTAAATGAGGTCGTGGATAAATTTTTGAATTAAAAACAAAAAAAAGTTTTATACAAGTACTGTTTACATTTTAAATGCTATATTAATTGCCACTGATATACATTTTTATTTAAAAAATCATACAGAGGTGGCAGCCCTTAAGCAAAGTGTTTTATTGTTAAAATATCTGCCATTACACATATCAACAGAGAAATACTTCAGACACTAATCCGTTATAAATTGAATTTATATTGGTTTTGTTTAAATGTGGCAATTTTTTTGGCTATTTATTGATTTTTAAAAGGTGGCAACACTATAAAAATTAATTAAATTTAATGAATTAACATTTTTTAATAGCTTGTTTTTCTTTAATTCGTGTTTAAATAATTTCTTCCATATGCGAAAAAGTGGCAACGTTATTCAATTTCCTTTAAGAATTCTTTTAATAAGAATGAAATCAAATACAATATTTTAATTTCCGCATCAGTCTTTTATTTAGATAAAATATTTTTATATATTAAAATTTTTATTATTTAATTTTATAAGGTGGCAACGCTATAAAAATTAATTCATTCGATGTAACGAATTTTATTCTTTTAATAGTTTTTTTTCTATTAGACATGCTTAAAAAATATCTTCCATATACGACTAGGTGGCAATGTTATAAAACCAGCTGTAAGAATTTTTTGATAAAAGTATAATCAAATACGATATTTTATATTTCTCTATCAGTCTTTGCATTAGATAAAATATTTCCATATTTGAAAATTTTGTATTATTTTTCTAGAAGGTGGCAACACTTTTAAAAATCATTTTGTTGAAGTTGGCGAATATAACTTTTTAATATTTTTTTCTATTATACGTGCCTAAAATTTTTCTGGCGTAGCGTAGCAACTTCTTTAAGTATTTTTTAATAAAAGTAAAATAAGAGATATTATTATCTTCTGATAAGCCTGTTCTTTCCAATTCCCGTGTAGGTGGTAACACTGTTCAAAAATACATTTTTAGCAAAACATGCTCAAATATTTATATTTTTTGTAAATAAGCTATATACTTGTTATATATTAGAAAATTTGCTGCTCAATTAGAAATTTGAATAGTGGCAGCTCTGTTAGAAAGTGAGAAATGGCTTATAAATACATATATGTGGATATGGAATTGGTAATGTTTTTAGTTATTTGGTTAAAATTTGTAAATTATTATGAATCAAAAACTTTTTTAGGCAGCTGGCAACTCTATTTATGAAAAAAATTTATATTTATATATTATTAATTTTGTGAACGTTTAATTTTATGTCATTATTATAACTTTTTGCTTAATGCATATACCATAGTTTTCTTTCATCAGCTTCGAAAGTGGCAACACTTTTAAATATTTTTTTCATCGGAATAATTTTTAAAATAATTTTTCACTATTGCATAGTTGCTATATTATATGACATAAAAAGTTCAACTGCAATTTTTAATTGGGTGGCAACATTGTTTAAGAAGATTTTATTCGTAAAGAATTTATAAAATGATGGTCAAAATAAAGAACATTTTGAATTTTCCACAGTGCATCACAGAGTTACAGTTCGACTTGAAGCAACCCTCCAAGCGGTCTAACGAAACCTCATCGTGTCGTCGTTGTGTGTGGTTACTGGCACAACAAGTAGCCGAGGAGCAACACTTTGTCGCGCTCACAAGTGGTTATTCGTGGCATTATGCTTTTATTTATATCACTTCGTGTACATCTTTTTTCGTTGCTTGAAGCGCGCTCTCACTCTCACGTTCTCTTGTATGTTTGCTCGTTAAACGACCAGTGCTCGTTGAAAGACTGCTTCTGCGCATAAAAATGGCGACCTGTGTGCTTCCGGGTAGTGTTGAATGGCTACAAATGGTACAACAAGGCAGGGGCGGAGGGTTGTCGAACAGGTGGTGGGCGGCGAGCGAACGAACAAAGCGCACAACAGGACACAACCGCAGTATGAGTCTCGCAGTGCAGCGCTCACTATGCCAAACAAAGCCTTGCACACACACTTGTGGATCGTTCGGCATACATACACATTGACGCGTACGTCGTTCGCGTTGTCTGCCCCCGGCTTTTCCTTCCTGTGTGACTATCATTTAGCGCGGTAAGAATTGCTCAATGCGCCGATGGAGCGCCGGAGTGCAGGCGCAGGGATGCATCGAGTGAACCGAGTTCCTGTTGGCTGTTGCAATGCGACGAGAGGCGACGTGTTGCTTCGCTCTGTGCTAGTTAAATACAAACATTTTTATGGATATGTAGGTGTGCTTGTATTTGTAGGGTTTTCAAATTCAAAGAATTTGTTTTTGTGCTTCCATGGCGCTTTGTGCTTTCGCAGACAGTTTGCAGCACGAAAGTCGTCTAAACTGGCTTGAAGTATGCGCGCACCTGCAGTGACTATGGTGACGGTAATTGTATAGTGGTAATGGGTAATGGTAATGCTGATGATGACAGCCACAAACGGCCAACAACAGCAACTGGTAAAATAACTGCAAACAGCAATAGCGCGTCAAAATCGACGCAATTTGTGTTTAGACGAACGAATATTTTGGTGAATGCAATGTGACATTTTTGGTTCCGACATTATTTTATATTGCATTGTTTTCAAATTTTCGTTGGAGCTCCGCAATAACCGGTCTTGCTAAGTGTGCAGTTACTCCATCGTGCTGGAACCAAACGCTATTAAAAGGGATACGTTTTCGGCGCAGTTCTTGTTAAAAAAACTCACTTACACCGTTTTCTTCAAAGAAGTATGGCCCGACAATACATGGATAAAACTGCGCAATACATACTGACTCGTTCTGGGTGAAGTTCCGTCTCGTGGATTATTTCTGAATTTGATTCACTCTATATACGGCAATTTTACTTGTTCATATTTTCGTTTGGATCAAAATGGGCCTTATCATTTCAATAATTTTTTGGCAAAATTCTAGGCGAATAGACAAATCTGTAGGGTTTAACCGGATCTCGATGGTACGGCGTTATTGCGATACTTTCAGATTCGACAAACATGTTTACCAAACATATATTGGTCCAACTACACGGTAGAGTGCCGTCAAAATCCCGTCTGAATTCCCTTTGGACGGAAATGACGGACTGCAAAGCATGGTACCGCATGGTACCGCTGTACTATACAAACACGCTTTTCGGTAACCCAAGCATTAATTTTAAAAAAATTTTAATAATAACCTGCCAAATAAAAAATGAAGTTAATCGATTACTCGCACAGAAAAAAAGTTATTACGGTTTGTTTTTGTAGCACGATCCGTGAGCCACTCTGTATTTTACTAAAAAGTCGAATTAAAGGGTTTAAGAAATCAGTCCCATCAAAAAAAAAAATTTATATATATTTTAAAACGATTACATATATATTCTATCTTTATATATATAAATCTTCTGTACGTGTGTTTGTAATTGAACTCCTTCTAAACGGCTGGACCGATCTGATGAAATTTTTTTTGTGTGTATTCAAGGGGGTTTGAAAATGGTTCAGATTCACAATTCGATCTACTAGATAATGTTTTAACAAAGAATTTATTTATTTATAAGTTGTTGTTGATGTTAAAATGTTTTAAATAGAATTCGGGAAGAAGGTGTCAGATATTCAAAAGCATATTTGAGTTTCAGTCACTAAGATAGCAGAGGTATAGCTTAAACTATGAAGACTATAGGCATGTGTATGCTGTATAGTGTCTAAACATAGTTCATACTGCTTTGCTACTGTATACGATACATATATAAAAGAAGATTCATAAAGGGTAGTTTGGCTGAACACATTTCTTCTTTTTGGTACATCCATTACTTTCTTCTTACGGATATTACTAAAAACTATTAATTTTGAAATTTGTTACTGTTTCGAAGTACATATTTTAAATAATTCTTCATAAAATTTTCCTAACCTACATAAATATGCTAACACGTCTGTCGGGTACGCTAGTATATTATATAACTAAATTATCAAAATGGCTTCTGTTGTCTGTCCGTGCATCTGCCCGTCTTTCTTTGCAAACAATAACTGTGGGTAGCATTGAGATATGTTTGGTACAGGTTTCCCGTTTTACTCTGAGGCGCCAGACAATGTCTTTGACAGGAATTAGAATACTGTCACATCCATAGAATATTGTAAGTCACACAAAAAAAAAAAAAAATACTACAACAACCAGGTACCAAATGAGCCAAAAATTTAAATTCTACAGCTTACAGGTTTCTTAACAACTGGTGACGAGTACTTTTTTTAGACTTTGCTCCGAAACAATGTTTGCAAATCGTGCAAATTTATTACCAAAATATTGGCTTGAAAAAAAGAAGTATATTTTGCTCAGCGAAGAAGCTCAGTTTTGGTTGAATGATTAAACAAAATTGTCGTAATAGGAATGAAGATAATCTACAAGTCTATCTTTGAGACGCAATTACAGCCTCAAAAAGACACTGTTTGATGGTCAATATTTCTTCAAAATGAAGACGGCCATAATGTTACAGTCAACGGGGGACGCTCTAGAGTCAGGAGACCATATTTGTCCCGGCAAAATCTGCGATGGTTTTTTATAGCGACTTTCATTGCCATCTGTGGTGCATTACGAACAACACCAAAAATGTTACTGAATGGTGTTTTACACATAGCACCCATAT